CCTGTATTGCAAGGTACGAGATTGAGCACAGCTCAATGCCCGACCACGGCAGAAGATAGAGAAAAGATGAGTGTCGTCCCCTATGCCTCGGCCATAGGGTCTATCATGTATGCTATGCTGTGTACCAGACCTGATGTAAACCTTGCCGTAAGTTTGGTAGGAAGGTACCAAAGTAATCCTGGCATGGAACACTAGACAACGGTTAAGAATATCCTGAAGTACCTGAAGAGGACTAAGGATATGTTTCTCGTTTATGGAGGTGACGAAGAGCTCATCGTAAAGGGTTACGTCGATGCTAGCTTCGACACAGATCTGGATGAATCTAAGTCACAAACCGGATATGTGTATATTTTGAATGGTGGGGCAGTAAGCTGGTGCAGTTGCAAGCAAAGCGTTGTGGCGGGATCTACATGTGAAGCGAAGTACATGTTAGCCTCGGAGGCAGCATAAGAGGCAATCTAGGTGAAGGAGTTCATTACCGACCTAGGAGTCATACCCAATGCGTCGGGCCCGATGACTCTCTTCTGTGACAACACTGGAGCTATTGCCCTTGCCAAGGAGCCCAGGTTTCACAGGAAGACCATGCATATCAAGCGCCACTTCAACTCCATTCGTGAAAGTGTTCAAAATGGAGACATAGAGATTTGTAAAGTACATACATACCTGAATGTGGTAGATCCGTTGACTAAACCTCTCCCTAGAGCAAAACATGATCAACACCAGAACTGCATGGGTGTTCGATTCATCACAATGTAACTAGACTATTGACTCTAGTGCAAGTGGGAGACTGTTGGAAATATGCCCTAGAGGCAATAATAAAATGGTTATTATTATATTTCTTTGTTCATGATAATTGTCTATTGTTCATGCTATAATTGTGTTATCCGGAAATCGTAATACACGTGTGAATACATAGACCACAATACGTCCCTAGTGAGCCTCTAGTTGACTAGCTTGTTGATCAAAAGATAGTCATGGTTTCTTGACTATGGACATTGGATGTCATTGATAACGGGATCACATCATTAGGAGAATGATGTGATGGACAAGACCCAATCCTAAGCATAGCTCAAAGATTGTGTAGTTCGTTTGCTATAGCTTTTCCGAATGTCAAGTATCATTTCCTTAGACCATGAGATTGTGCAACTCCCGGATACCGTAGGAGCGCCTTGGGTGTGCCAAACGTCACAACGTAACTGGGTGACTATAAAGGTACACTATAGGTATCTCCGAAAGTGTCTGTTGGGTTGGCACGAATCGAGACTGGGATTTGTCACTCCGTATGACGGAGAGGTATCTCTGGGCCCACTCGGTAATGCATCATCATAATGAGCTCAATGTGACCAAGTGGTTGATCACGGGATCATGCATTACGGCACGAGTAAAGTGACTTGCCGGTAACGAGATTGAACGAGGTATTGGGATACCGACGATCGAGTCTCGGGCAAGTAACGTACCGTTTGACAAAGGGAATTGTGTACGGATTGATTGAATCCTCGACATCGTGGCTCATCCGATGAGATCATCGAGGAGCATGTGGGAGCCAACATGGGTATCTAGATCCCGCTGTTGGTTATTGACCGGAGAGTCGTCTCGGTCATGTCTGCGTGTCTCCCGAACCCGTAGGGTCTACACACTTAAGGTTCGGTGACGCTAGGGTTGTTGAGATATTAGCATACGGTAACCCGAAAGTTGTTCGGAGTCCCGGATGAGACCCCGGACATCACGAGGAGTTCCGGAATGGTCCGGAGGTGAAGATTTATATATAGGAAGTCAAGTTTCGGCCATCGGGAAAGTTTCGGGGGTAATCGGTATTGTACCGGGACCACCGGAAGGGTCCCGGGGGTCCACCGGGTGGGGCCACCTATCCCGGAGGGCCCCATGGGCTGAAGTGGGAGGGGAACCAGCCCCTAGTGGGCTGGTGCGCCCCCCTTGGGCCTCCTCTTGTGCCTAGGGTTGGAAACCCTAGGGGTGGGGGGCGCCCCACTTGGCTTGGGGGGCAAGCCACCCCCTTGGCCGCCCCCCTTGGAGATTGGATCTCCTAGGGCCGGCGCCCCCCTAGGGACCCTATATATAGTGGGGTAGAGGGAGGGCAAACGCACCCTAGCCCCTGGCGCCTCCCTCTCCCTCCCGTGACACTCCTCCCTCTCCCTGAGCTTGGCGAAGCCCTGCCGAGATCACCGTTGCTTCCACCACCACGCCGTCGTGCTGCTGGATCTTCATCAACCTCTCCTTCCCCCTTGCTGGATCAAGTTGGAGGAGACGTTTTCTCAACCGTACATGTGTTGAACGCAGAGGTGCCATCCATTCGGTGCTAGGTCATCAGTGATTTGGATCACGACGAGTACGACTCCATCAACCCCGTTCTCTTGAACGCTTCCGCGCGCGATGTACAAGGGTATGTAGATGCACTCCCCTCTCCCTCGTTGCTAGATGACCCATAGATTGATCTTGGTGATGCGTAGAAAATTTTAAAATTCTGCTACGTTCCCCAACAGTATGGGCCACCAATGACAGTGCTAAACCTGACATATCTCGAGGTAGGGGTCCTGAGCTAGGTTTCTTGGAGCGATGGTAGCATGGACACATGATTTTACCCATGTTTATGCTCTCTCGAAGATATAATACCCTACGTCCCGCTTTTAATTGTGTTGATATGGGGTATAGTATAGAGTACATGTATCTACCACGGGATTGTTCTAATGAATATGAGATTCGATGATCTATTGACTAGTCTGGCCTCGACTTATATAATGTACCGGAGGCTTAGGATTTAGAGGAGTCCTAGTCGGCTACGTCAGTGGAGAGGAGTCCTTGTCTTGATCACCAAGTCTTGTGGATTTTTTTCTTGTATATGTCATGGGCTGCCCGAAGTGGCCCATTAACTAACCGTCATGGGGGTCCTTGGGCCGACCCACCTTGTCGGGAGACAACGTGGTGAGTCCCCATAATCCAGGACACCGTCAGATATGTCAGTAGGTATCAACTTATCCAACTTAAGTTTCTTATAAAGAGAAAAATGAATAATACTAACACATGCACCTAAAACGCATAAAGCAAGCTTCACATAGTTATTTTTAAAGGTTAAAAGTGCATCTAATCCTCTTGATTGATTTTGGTAATTAATGCCAACACATCTCAAAGAACTAATGCTTTATCTTACTTATCTCAGGAAAGTTCCTTGCATGTGCAGTAAAAAGGAATGAAGGTCCCCCCTACAAATTTACATGTGGACAAGTGTTGGCCAAGCCCAAGGATTCTCTTTTTCATTTTAGTGACCCAATATCACATTGAGTCCATAAGCATTGCCAATGCTATCAAAAGGGTACGAGGTTGTTGTGATGAGTTTCTTTCTCCATGTGCTTAAGGATCAAACTCCAGTGCTCTCAAGAGCCTCCACAATTCTTCCACTATATATATCTACCTTAGTTCCATACTTCAGAGTTGTAGAGCTTTTCCAGATGGAACCGCCAGGTACTTCATAGGTAAAGCCATTACAAACCCTTGTTGTTTGGACTCCCGTTCTCATTCTCTCGTTACAAATAAGCAATATGGGCATGCACTCCCATACTCTCTCTCACATGAACAAACTCAAGGGTTGTGACCTAGTAAGGTTTGTGGCTGGTTATATCATTAGGAGGAGAGTTTCGAAAGTAGATGTGTCCTTGACGCCTCACGAGCCAATTACTTCTCTCACCTCTCCTAACACAAGGGTTGTGTGTGATCCACCAAACGTTCATGTGTCCACTTTGTTGGTGTACACCAAGTTTCGCTACAGGCCCCCCCTACACACCCCTAGCCCCCCTATACACACCCATACTAAATTTGGTTTGTTTGCTAACGACCCAATACCCCTTATTGGCTTATTGTATTATTTCCACAACAACAAAGTTAATCTAAGCTTTTTGAGTAGCTTGAACGCAATAAGCACCTACAATATATGGGTTCAACGGGAATAGAAGAATCCATTGAAATGGTCAATTCACCTCAGATGTATTTGCTAGCTCGCTTTTTTTCAGTCAAAAGTGATTTGTCTTACTCCTTACCATCCTTGAATACAACATTTAATATAAAGAATGTGCAATTCAAATTTCAATCTTAGTGGAAGCCCAATTGGCCCACAAGAGGAGCGCGCGAAAAAGGGAATCGACGCCTTGGCGCGGCAAGGGGGGAGGATGGGGGGGATGCGCAACGCGTGCGGGCAACAGGGTGTGCGGGAAACAAAAACAAGCCGCCAAAACTGGAAAAAACACCTGCAAGAATTCAAACCGCGCGCGCGCCGTGAAGCGAAATCCTATGAGATTTAAAAATCTGGGCACAAGGACCACAAGTCGCAAACGGGAAACCAAGCACGCGTGTACGCCTTCGCGGGTGGCAGAAAACCAAATTTCAAGACTGGACGCTCCATTTCAAATTTCAAACTCGGAAGCCAACCAAACCAAACCATTCCAAAAAGGGGCAGACCCCACACAGTCCACACCGGCCGCTCTACTACTTTCCATTTCGAAATCTACCAGCTCACCACGTGACATAAACAACTTCCTTCTAGGACCCCCCCGTCCTAGATCTGGTGCGTCTCTCACTGACAGGTGGGCGAAAGCAGTCCCCTGGCCCGCCCGTCGGTGGGACTCCAGGGGCGCAGGGCGGGGTCCTGTGCGTTCGGACACGACCCCGAAAAATTTCAAACCAGCGGTAACCCACCGTTTCGATCCCGCCCGCGCACCGCCCCGCTCTCCCTGGCGCGCGGGGCCCGCGCGTCAGGCCTTCACCCCGGGCAGCCTCATCTTTTAACGCCCGTCTAATTCTCTCCGACCGTCTCATTCTCTCTCCCCCCCTCCCTCCCCTCCCTCGTGTGCCACCCCAAATCTCCGAGCCGAGTTCCCAAACCCTAGCCTCCGGCGCCGGCGATGGCCCTCGTCGCGTCGGCGTGAGAAGGGATCTGTCGCGCGCGGCGTCGGCGGGGAGTTGCGGGCGGGCGGGAGGCAGTCGGGCTGGCGGGGATGGAGGCGAGGCGGATCTCGGCGACCCCCCGGCCGTGCAACGGCCGGCGCGTGGTGGCGAGGAAGAGGCCGAGGCAGGAGGCGGTCATCAGCAGCGTCAGGAAGCTGCAGCGCCGGGAGATCAGCTCCCGCCGGGAGCGCTCCTTCGCCATGAACTCCGCGCAGGAGCGCTTCCGCAACATACAGCTGCAGGTACGCTTTCCCTGCCCGCCCCCCGGTCCCGTGTCCAACTTTCTTTAACCTTTCGTTCGCGTGCATCTGCGGAGAGGTTCTGTTTGCTTCGTGTGGGGGAATCGCGGCCCTCGGATGTTCTGGGCATCGCGATTATAGCCTGGATTAGAGTAGCCGACTCGTGGACGGGGTGTGGGGGTTAGGGTTTGGTAGGCTGGGAAAAGTGAGATCTTGTTAGGTTTCGGTGAACTGTCGGTGGTATTTGGGATCTTAGTGTGCTGGGGAAGGCTTCGCCACGCTACATTTGCTTGATGTAATGGAAAGTTTGTGCATTTAGCGCAGGCGCTTAAACAGTAATGAGGATTTGTGGTAGTCGCCGGTCTGTAGTCCAGTTTTCTTTTTCTTTTTGATGATGAGGATCCGGTCTGTAGTCCAGTTGAGCAGATGTGTGCCGGATGGGCTGTCCTGTGCATCTTGCACCATTCTTCTGGCCTGTCCTGAAACTTCTGACGAATTTTTAGGGAAATCATATTAGTATTTACTTCCTTTCTTATGAATGTGCAAGACCCATGATGTTTGTATTCCTGTCAATTTGTGAATTGCTGCAATCAGCAAAGAAGATGACAGTTGTTACTTATCTGTCGCATATGGCCTTTGAGTTAAGCTGTTTGTTCATTTTATTTAACCATTGTTTGATTGCAAGTTGGGTCTATGAATGCTGGGAATCAGTTGCCTGTCTATTACACGAGTGCTGCCGATGGGTGTATTTGTCCTGGATTCCTGGTTATTCACTGCTTTGGTCACATTACACTGCTCAGATAACCGATTTATTGGTGTTTTTCCTGCACTGAACAAAGAGCACGGGGACACCTTGTTTTCAACAATACTGTTGATCATCAGCACTTGGCTGCTCCACAAGCTACTTTGTGCCCAGAAGTCTCACCTATTAGAACTGTCAACCTTGGGCCTTTTCTCATATTGCTTTCTCTCTGCTGAAATAATTGATTTTACCCTCCTATTTTTGTAGTATCATTCTTTTTTTTTCTTGCTTCTAACAGTGTACATTTGCTATCATTTTAGGAGGAGTTTGACACTCATGATCCTAAGGAGAACAACGCGCTACTACCTTACATTAGGAAGAGGTCAAAAATTATTGAGATAGTTGCAGCACGTGATATAGTTTTTGCTTTATCACAATCTGGAGTATGTGCTGCTTTTAGTAGAGGTATGCTTGTTTTCTTGCAGGTGTGCCCATGCTTCATATTTTCATACTGAGATGCTCTTCTTATATTTCCAGTGACGAATAAGAGAATATGCTTTCTAAATGGGAGTCCAGATGAAGTTGTTCGTAGTTTATTCTACAACAAGAACAATGATTCACTCATTACTGTGTCAGTATATGGTTCTGAAAATTTTAGTGCCTTGCGATGCAAGACAACTCGAATTGAGTAAGCTTTCAGTCCATATGTCTTTCACAAGTGAATACCTGTTTCTTTCATCCTGATTAAGACCCCTTTTAACTATTTCAAGGTATATACGCCGCGGAACGCCAGATGCTGGTTTCCCTCTTTTTGAGACAGAGTCCTTGAAATGGCCTGGCTTCGTTGAGTTTGATGATGTCAATGGAAAGGTTTTAACTTATTCCGCTCAAGACAGGTACTTTAACTTATGTAACGATTTTTGTGTGTGGAAAATGGATGAATTTTAACTTCTGCAATGGCTGTATGCACTTTCTGGAACTGTGCTGATTGTATCTCATTCTGCAAACAGCACTTACAAGGTTTTTGACTTGAAAAACTACACCCTACTGTATTCCATATCTGACAAGAATGTTCAAGAAATAAAGATCAGGTAACTGTATTCCCACTTACTTCTCCTTGTCACTTTGCTGTTCAACAAATTCTTCTGTTATCATTGGAATGCCTCTTCTATTACTTGCAGCAAAATTGAGAAAAATGTTGGTTTCAGTAGGCAAAACTGACTAAAGCTAGAAATTATTCATCCAATGCACATACAAAGGGCAGCAGTAATCTTATATTGCTGGTGTTGTCAATTTGTTGTGCATCCTAGTTAAACCTGATTTATGTACTTCAAGCTTAAAATAATTGATTCGTTTCAGTAGGAATGCATCTTTATATATTTGTCTAATACTTGTTTAACTTGTGACAGTCCTGGTATAATGCTTTTGATTTATACAAGAACAAGCAGCTCCATTCCTCTGAAGATTCTTAATATTGAGGATGGCACAGTTTTGAAATTCTTCAACCACCTCCTCCATCGTAATAAGAAGGTGGATTTCATTGAACAGTTTAATGAAAAGCTGTTGGTCAAGCAGGATGGAGAGAATCTTCAAATACTTGATGTAAGTATTTTCCTGAAGTGCTTAGGGAAATCAATAAAAATGACTGTTGTTTCTTGCTTATTCTTTATCTCATTTTGTTGCAGGTACGGAACTTCCAGTTGACTGAAGTGAGCAGTACTGAGTTCATGACTCCATCTGCCTTTATCTTTCTGTATGAACTCCAGTTGTTTTTGACATTCCGGAATCGATCTGTAGCAGTTTGGAATTTCCGAGGTGAACTAGTAACATCATTTGAGGATCACCTGCTGTGGCACCCTGACTGCAATACCAATAACATATACATAACCAGTGATCAAGATCTTATTATTTCTTACTGCAAGGCTGATTCCACTGATTCATCTTCAGAAGAAAATGGTAAGATTTGGTTCCCTTTGCCGTTTGTTGTAGGCTAAATTGTGTAATTTGTTATACATTTGGATCACTGTGTGTTGCGTCTTGCTAGTTATCATTGTTTTGGTTTCCTTTGACATTCTTTGGTTCTGCATTCATGCTCCATGCACTTCTGGCATTGAGCAAATTTAATTAAACATGCTGTTGCATCATATCATACCTGGCCCTCCATTTTAATGAATGGTACCCTTGGCCAGTTACGTTTTCATAGTGACATCTTTCCACCAGTCAGCAGATAACGGGACTTACCTTATGGTCGTGGATAACATGACTCATCTTATGTTTGCTCATGTGCAGCTGGCTCTATAAACATCAGCAACATACTGACAGGGAAATGCTTGGCTAAAATAAAGGCTGGCAATTTCAACGAGCAAAAGAAGACATGGAAGTTCCAGAATACAATCACCGAGGCTCTTGAGGACATCACAGCTCTGTACTATGACGAAGAGCGTGATGAGATCTACACCGGCAACCGCCATGGCCTTGTTCATGTGTGGGCGAACTGAGAGCTGAGAAAGCAAATTTCAGGGACAAACAAGATGTTGTTCGTTTGCAGGCGGATCAATTTAACAACCAAGCCTCAGGTGGTGCTGGCCGCGAAGAGGTCTTGGGTCTCCAGCCGTTAGCAATTTGTTGATGTGGAGTATTGTGGTGTCGAGCTGCTCTTTACCGACAGAAGATTTGTTGTAGAGTTAGTGCTTATCATGTGCTTTACCATAGCCTGTAGTAGCCTTGGAGATGTCTCGAGGCGAGCTCTCAAACTGTACCTCATGTAATGTGCCTTCCTGGTAGTTAACTCTGCTACCTGAAATAGTTATACCTCATTCTGTCTGTCAATGTGTCTGGTTGTTGTTGAGTTTGGCATCTTGTAGACATAAACAATTGGAATATGTGGCATAGAAACGCCTTCCACTCTGACGAGAGATGGTTGACGGCAAAAATCATTTTTTTGAGGAACAGTTGGTCACTTTATTGCTCAATAATAAGGGGTACAATTGTAGCATCTGACGGTTGTAGCGACCATGATCTAGAGATAACACACTCTTTACAAAATTATGCGCCTCATGATTGGATGTTCTTCCCACATGTATGAAACGAACTGAAGCAAAAGCTTGTGCATGCTGTTTGATCTCCAGCAAAACTGAGCTGTATGCACACATGCTTCCTTCGTTGATAGTTGACGGCAAAAAATCACTTCGGAGGTGTTAACCTGCAGCAAGCCCAACCACCCTGCACGAACCTTGAAGCACCTTTTGAGCGAGGCAGGCCCGAGCTATGTGGGTCTGGCGATAAAAGCTGGGTGCCCTCCCTTAATCTGGTTTACTTAACCCCTTCTAATCTACACAACTATCTGGTTCACTTACCCCTTCTAATCTGCACAACGGTCTCGTTCACTTAACCCCTTCTAATCTACACAACTGTGCTTCAATTTGAAATAAGTTATATGTGAAAAAGATGCACATCAACGTTGTGATTCCATTCAGGCGATCGCTTTGTAGTTTCATTCATCGTAAACATACAATTTCATGTTCATGTTTGAAGCTTTTTTAGACAAATTTTGGCAAATTCGTCAGACATGATCGCCCATCTGAAATTTTCTTTGCCCACTAGATTCAGCTTGTTGTTTCACACGACTTTCGTGTTGCACGTTTTCAGTTTTGACGATCGTAGTCGAGTAGACTTACATGTCGCTGTTGGACTATACAATTGTTACCTAGCTTTGCAAATGGTTTGTTTTACTCACGTTCCTTAATCTCCTTCACCTAGTTCCCTTTTAATCTACACAATGGTGCTTTCGATGAAGGAAATATGCCCTAGAGGCAATAATAAAGTTATTATTTATTTCCTTATTTCATGATAAATATTTATTATTCATGCTAGAATTGTATTAACCGGAAACATAATACATGTGTGAATACATAGACAAACAGAGTGTCACTAGTATGCCTCTACTTGACTAGCTCGTTGGTTAAAGATGGTTATGTTTCCTAACCATAGACATGAGTTGTCATTGATAAACGGGATCACATCATTAGGAGAATGATATGATTGACTTGACCCATTCCGTTAGCTTAGCACTTGATCGTTTTAGTTTACTGCTATTGCTTTCTTCATGACTTATACATGTTCCTATGACTATGAGATTATGCAACTCCCGATTACCGGAGGAACACTTTGTGTGCTACCAAACGTCACAACGTAACTAGGTGATTATAAAGGTGCTCTACAGGTGTCTCCGATGGTACTTGTTGAGTTGGCATAGATCGAGATTAGGATTTGTCACTCCGATTGTCGGAGAGGTATCTCTGGGCCCTCTCGGTAATGCACATCACTATAAGCCTTGCAAGCAATGCAACTAATGAGTTAGTTGCGGGATGATGTATTAGGGAACGAGTAAAGAGACTTGTCGGTAACGAGATTGAGCTAGGTATTGAGATACCGACGATCGAATCTCGGGCAAGTAACATACCGATGACAAAGGGAATAACGTATGTTGTTATGCGGTTTGACCGATAAAGATCTTCGTAGAATATGTAGGAGCCAATATGAGCATCCAGGTTCCGCTATTGGTTATTGACCGGAGACGTGTCTCGGTCATGTCTACATAGTTCTCGAACCCGTAGGGTCCGCACGCTTAACGTCGGTGACGATCGATATTATGAGTTTATGTGATTTGATGTACCGAAGGTAGTTCGGAGTCCCGGATATGATCACGGACATGACGAGGAGTCTCGAAATGATCGAGAAATAAAGATTAATATATTGGACGACTATATTCGGATACCGGAAGTGTTCCGGGTGATTTCGAAGAAAACCGAAGTGTCGGAGGGTTATCGGACCCCCCCAGGAGAAGTAATGGGCCACATGGGCCTTAGTGGAGAGAGAGGGCAGGCCAGGGCATGCCGCGCGCCCCCTCCCCCTCTGGTCCGAATTGGACTAGGGAAGGGGGGGGGGGGGCGCCCCCCTTTCCTTCTCCCTCTCCTCCTTCCTTTCCCCCTCCTAATAGGAGTAGGAAAGGGGAGTCCTACTCCTACTAGGAGGAGGACTCCTCCTCCTGGCGCACCCTGCAAGGGCCGGCTGGCCTCCCCCTTGCTCCTTTATATACGGGGGCAGGGGGCACCCTAGGACACGTAAGTTGATTATTCCAAGCCGTGTGCGGTGCCCCCCTCCACCATAATCCACCTCGACTATATCGTAGCGGTGCTTAGGCGAAGCCCTGCGTCGGTAGTAACATCATCACCGTAATCACGCCGTTGTGCTGACAAAACTCTCCCGTGAAGCTCTGCTGGATCAGAGTTCATGGGACGTCATCGAGCTGAACATGTGCTGAACTCGGAGGTGCCGTACGTTCGGTACTTGGATCAGTCGGATCGTGAAGATGTAAGACTACATCAACCGCGTTCTCATAACGCTTCCGCTTACGGGCTACGAGGGTACATGGACGATACTCTCCTCTCTCGTTGCTATGAATCACCATGATCTTATGTGTGCGTAGGATTTTTTTTGAAATTACTACGTTCCCTAACATTCGAAACCAATGTGGTGATCATCCTAACTGCGCTCTTCTTCGCGCTGCTGCTTCCTCTCAACTAGGAAGGGGTTGGGCCCCAAGTGCAAGGGTTTTGTAGCAAGGAACAATTTCCCCTCGAAGTGGATGATCTTAAGTTTTAGGGTGTGGCTATGTCTCAATCGACTAATATTTAACCAATTCTCAGTCAAGTGACATACCATGTAAGAACAGAAAAATAAAATCCGAAAAGAAAGTTTTGCACGGATCACAATGTATGATCCCACAAATATAGTGTGGACTGAGACATAATCAAGTCTCAGTCGACTAAGATTTAGCAAGACTTAGTTTTATCGAACCAGTAGGAGCTTGCAATGCAACCAATAATAAGTACCCGCACACAAAAAATACAAAACTGTCTTGGCTCCGAACAAAACTAGTAAGATTGTCAGTCTTACTAGCCTTGCTAGTTATAAGGATTACAAGCAAGTGTGTATGAAAAAATGTAGTTGCAAGAAAAGAAATAAAAGCAAAGAATTGTAAAGAGCGTTTGATCGAGGTTGAAAGCGATGGAAGAAGAATTGATTGGGATCCATAGATTCACTAGTGGTTTCTCTTCAAAAGAAATAACAAGGTGTCATGAACAACTTACAGTTGTGTATCGATTAAATTACATTTTTTATGAATATGATTATACACGACATAATTGCATATGAGCATTGTTAAGCTTCATGCACTAGTCAACGCAACCAAAAGTCCGAACTTATGGAAAGGGCTAGACAATCCACATATACTGTAACACCCCCTCTCACGTGTGACAGGAAAGACAAGTCAGCAGGTGCAACCGGAAGAGAGCAACGGCGCGGGAAACTCACGTATGACTCAAGAGGCCTCTACATGGACACAAAGGGGGGCTACCAGTAATTTTTAACAAATTGTGAAAGCCAGGATTTGAACTCAAGACCTTAGCTCCGATACCATGTCAAGCTTCATGCACTAGCCAACACAACCAAAAATCCGAACTTATGGAAAGGGCTAGACAATCCACATATACTGTAACAAGCATCACGCCCAAGCACCTATATACCGTTATCCAACTGCATATATAGCTAATACTTCACCCCAAGACTGCTACCTAGCATGCATCTCAAAGTATTAAGTAAATAAACAGATTATTGCATTAAGTATGATGACACAAAGTAGATGATATATTGTGTTCACCCTGCGTTCAAAGGACAACCACACAATCATCCTTTTATCTGTAGTTGCAACAATACACAAGCCTTTTCCACTTTCTTTGACCACGGTAGATTACTTGCAAGATTGAACCCAACTAACATATACAACTCCCTCTTGAAGATCATACATCAAACTTGGCCAAAGAAAGACAAATGCACCAGATAGCATATATGTATAAGAATTGTGCAGCAAAGAAACCAAATTGATCTCAGAATAATTCATGGATAAATCTGATCATAAAGTGACAATTCATCACACTGCAACAAACACACCAACAAATCACATTATATGGATCACAATCATGTAAGGAAGCTAATGTAATCTTTGTATTGAGAAGCAAGGGAGAGAAAACCATCTAGCTGCTGCTATGGATTCATCAACTACACAACCTCCCGTTTCAATCAATCAACACTTGCAATACTTGAGCATGAGACTTCATCTTTGCACTTAAATAGAAAATGAGAAATATAATGGAGATTTATAGAAGTCAAAAAGTGGAAGAAAATCTTACATCAATGTGGCCGATCATTGGGCAATGGAGAGGCCTTATAGTCGATGTTAATGCAAGGAGTAGAGACTGCCATGCAACAGATCACTAGAGCTATGAGTGTATGAAAGCTCTAGGGTGTGGATCCAACTTTTCTTGTTCTTGAACACCTAGAGTGTTTGAGAATGCTCATCATTGGAGTCCACAAGCTAAGTTCTACAATGTGAAAAATCTCCAACTAATATGTAGACATGAAGCATATGAAAACTCTC